ATATTAATAATAAAATAAAAGTTTAAATAACTAACTAGGTATAGGTAGAAAGTCTATATAATTTGTCGTCACAGGATACATACTTATGTAGTCCAATACCTATAAAATTCTATTAAGAAGATAAACAATTTTTAATATTATAATTAGTCACTTATATTAATAAATATCAGGTTATCTATATAATAGATTCATAAAATATCATTGAAAGATATAACTAATTTGTTCATTTATTCAATTTTCAGATTTTTGAAAATTCAAATTGATGAACATACATTAAATACAATTTTATCAAAATGACTAACAACCATTTGAATACGATTTCTGGACAAGACCAACAGTACTGTTTGAGATGGAATAATCATCAGACAAATCTAACAAATGTATTTGTTCAATTGTTTCAATCTGAAGAATTTACCGATACTACACTGTTTTGTGAGGGTGGACCACCTGTCAAATGTCACAAAATGGTATTGGCTGCATGTTCGTCATACTTTCAGTCAGTTTTTGCTGAGGTACCTGGTAAACATTCTGCAGTTGTGCTGAAAGACGTTGGTCATTCTGAAATGAAAGCCATACTTGACTATATGTACAAAGGTGAAGTAAATATTGCTCATGATCAATTAGCGGCTTTGCTAAAAGTCGCTGAAATGCTCAAAGTTAAAGGACTCGTTCAAGACAATACATATCAACCACAGAGCGCAACACCTACCGTTGACGAAGACCGTAATATAATAAGCACTTCTTCTCCAAATCACGTATCACCAGATGGAAATACGAGTGCATCCAAAGATCTCGCCGTCAATATTAACAATAATAATGAGCACAATGATTCACCCCCGCATAGTACTGGTATTACTCACCAATCACCATTCTACAACAAAAACTATTTTGGGAAATCACCACCGTTAGTAGACCTTAGACCTGGAAGGAGTAACGTTCCGATGTGGCCAATGCCTCCCATGCAGTTGTCTTCAACACCAGTGACAAATGCAATGTTTGGTGGAAGTTATGATGCTATGATTGCTGGACATCCGGGAATGTCACCGTTGCGTCGCAAGAAATTATCTAGCATGTTAATGGGCCGAGATACACCTATATTGAGAACTGTACTTGGACAGGGACAAGCGGATTCCTCACAGCAACTTGCTCTACCATTATATGGTTCTGAAGCAATGGAACATCATAGACCACAATCTAATGGATCTGAACATAGCAGCCAATTTTCAAAGGTCAGTATCTAATTTAATATTTTCTTTATATATTCTCAAAAATACAAAACTTAATATGATACATTTATTGCAGATTAAATTGGAAGGATCAGAACCTCATTCTCCATATCCTCCTGATATGTCAATGAATGATGATGATGAAATGATAAGGGTAAATATATATATATATATTATATTTGTATATTTCAACCTGTTAAACTATTAATGATTTTTTTGTTTTTGCTGATTTAAATTATTTATTTATTCCTCTTGAAATTTGAATTATCAAGAGTCGACAGTATACTTAAATGATTTTTAAATATTTAAACTTTTTTTTAGATGGGAAAAATGAATAATTCATCTTCACCTCAATCAATATATGGTGATTCAAAAAGTAATTATTTTGTTAATTTACTTCCATTTTCAGCTTTAAATAAATGTTATGTATTATTTAACTAAAATTGTATACATATTAACATAAATTATTTTACTTCATTAAACAGGTGGTATTGTAACTCCAGGAATTGCAACTTATGTCCCATCTCATAAGCCAGAGTGGAAAAGATACAAACAGTACACACGGCAAGATATTATGTCCGCAATAGATGCAGTTCGAACTGGCATGAGTGCATTACAAGCTTCTCGAAAATTTGGAGTTCCATCTCGTACCCTTTATGACAAAGTGAAGAAACTTGGTATAACCACAAGCCGTCCATTTCGTAGATCAGGAGTCAATAATGGCAATCTTGGCTTTGCATATGGATTAGGTCCAGGTACTAGCAGTGTTATGTTCTCAGGACAAATGTCCGGAGCTGAAGATGAATCTGGTCATTCTACAGCCATGGAACATGCAACTGCTGGTTTCTTACATCATGCTCTTGGATTATCTGGAATGCCTTTAAAATCAGATCATGAAACTTCTAACAATGGGCATTCACCTCGTTCAGATAGGATGGATGATGGAGGCTCACCTTGTAGCCCAGAACTGATTAAATTTGCTGGACACAGAGAAGACACACAATCACCAACTCCGACAGACAATGATGACCAAGCACAAGATTTATCAGTGTCTCGTAAATCTGAGTCATCAATGCAAGCAACACCTACATCTAGAATTATTATGGCGCCTCTTAGTCAAACGCCCTCTGTACCCATGTTAGCCGCTGGTAACGACGATAGGGACTGAAATGGTGGTTTACATTGGATGGGCAGTATGTGCAATCCGAATTCAATAATTGAATTTAACTGAAACCCAAATCTTAGTTCTAGGCTATTTGAAGTCAAACCTTTTTTTAGGTTTAGTTATGTCATTTTAAAATTTTTCGTTAATGATAAAAGACATACCAGGGTCAGTTGGTGCAGAAAAGGTTGTACAGTTAAATTGAGAAATTGTATTCAATATTCTCTTGAATTTAAATTATTTTAAAATGTTGACACTATTTTATAAACATTTTTAGTTTTTGTTTTTTGGGTCAATCAAACTAGCAAATTTTGGGTATAACCTTGATTTAATTACGTACATTTTATTTACAATTTTAATTTTAATGTTAATTCCAAGTCTGAAAAAATTTAAATCAAAAACATTGTTTCAGGTAGCTAATTAAATGGTTGTTTTTTACATCTAATATCAGGTAAAATTTCATAAATGCCATTTAATCCCGACAACTGCTCAATTATCGTTATTTAAGAGTTCCTTGTATCAAAATATCTACCTAAAATTGTAGGTACCGATTGTAAATAACTGAATAATTACAAATGCTTATCCACTCTATTTTCACTTAAATGATTCCCTCCATTTATTATTATTTTTATTAATATTCATGAAACAGATATCTCAAACCGCATAAGACTGCTACTTGTTAAAATATTATGTAGTTAAGTAGTAATAATATACATATATATTATATTTTGTTTAGTTAATTTAAACCAAGGAGACTGTATTTAATGTTAAATAATCTACACTGATACTTCTAAATAATGTACTAACTAATGTGTTCATGCAGTTCTATGTCATAATGTTACACAAACATTGTTAGAAGCTTTATTATACTCAATGCTCAGTGTATCATAGATGGAAATCATGTGTTCATTAGTTTTAGCTAACACTATTTTGGGGGCCAATATTATTTTTGTATAATCCAGTTACATTTCAAATAGTTAAATAATAAGACTGAGTAGCCTTAATTTTAAAAGAACTGATACACATTTTGACTGGTTTGATTTAAACATTCTCAGCTTTGTTCCTACCGAGGTTTATCAATTTTTAACTACAAATTGCAATAGTATATTATTTATGATGTCTACAGGAACAAAGGTGTGAATTCAAGACTGAGTTGGTTTTTTGTTAGGAGAAAAAAAAACATTTAACTTGAATAGGGTTTAATAATTATATAATTTTAATTTTTGGTCATCTGTTATTGTAATATAGTTAATTGAATAAAAAAAAAAGTAGAAAATTCATGTTTGAATTTACTTGTCTGGGTAGGATGCAATTTAGACAAAGTGGACTTTGTCGTTTTTATTTATTTGACTTTTATTTGTTTTACACAAACTAGTATAAATCCTTAAAATATAATTTAAAGTAAAACACTAAGAAATAAATTCTAAAATAAATTACTAATTTTAAATTTATATATATAGAACTACATGCCTTCATATTATTATAAAGTATTTAAAAAAAAATAAAAAATATAATTAAAAATGTATCTCATGTTTACGACCTTTCATTGTACATTTTATTATATATTACTATATTGGTATTAAAGACTTATGTTTTTATTTATTTTTATTTAATAATTGTTTTGTTTTTGTTCGAGTTTTTTTTTAACTTTGGGCTTCATTAAGGGTATTTATTGTAATGCTAATTAAAAGTTTAGATTTATATGACATGTTGTTAAAATTATATTTACTATTTATTCCTTTTTATTTTTGCAAGAATATTGTTCAATTATTATGGTAAATTGAAAAATTTATGTTTTGCGTTTTTGTTTATATCATAGGATTTTTACTATTTAGATTAAAATTTGTATAATATTAATTAAAATTTTTGTATTTAATATTAAAAAAAAATGTTTTTTTTATTTATTGTAAATGGAAGTGAAACTGATATGTGCTTGAGCTTAATACATTTATATATTTTTTGGAATATAAGGTTTGAAAACTATATAATTATTATATAATTATTTCATTATTTAAGAATATTATGTTTTTAATTTGTACTAGAAGTACAATTGCAAATTTCAATGTTTTGAATAAATGTTCTACAATAAGTTATAATTTTTTAATAATATGTTTAATTAGTTAGACTTACTATGACGATAATTATAATTTATAATACTATTATTATTTTGACTTAAAACCCAGTTATAATTTTTAATCTTTTTTTGACTAATTTTTTTTTTAGGAAAATTGTTTACTAGGTATAGTAAAATTTATAAATTATATTATATATTAATAATATTACTATTTTATCTCATTTATTAGAAGTGCTTTTTTTTTCTTACATTGTTTTGTTACATCATATACAAATTATTATCATGTATTAATTATTTATTTATTTTTTTTTTATTATAAGACTGAATATTGTTCTAAGTTTGTCTAACATAATTGATATAATTTATGTGTTTTCTTCTCTTTAAATCTTATAAAAATACGTATAGGGTTTATCCTTTGTAACAATAACTAATATGTTGTAGTAAGTTAGGTTTAGTAGTAAATCTTCATAGTTATATACTTTATAATATCAGCTATTCATCTGATTAAAAAAAAATCTATATAGAGCATGGTGTGTGTTTCATACTATCAATTATCATTGTATAGTTATAGTTATACATGTATTATGTAAATAATATATGCATTTTATATATATAAATAAATAATACAAACTATCTATTTCATATTTTTTAAATGTAAATTTAATGGTAATTCGGTTGCAATTAGCCGATTTTTTGTATTAATATATATAAACATAATATTATGTATTATGTATAACCTTTAAGCAATTTATTAAAATTGTAAGTGTCAAACAATAATTTCTCCTACCTATATTAAATACCTATTTCTATATCATTGATATATATTACAGTATAAACTTGATAGTTTATTTTTGGTCATATAAAAATATTTAAAATTTTAAAAACTAGGTATATGGTTAAATTATCATATTTTTTTTGAATCTAAAATCTAGGAATCCAATATTGACAAATGTAAGTATTTAAAAATTATAGGAATTTAATCAATATTCGATTTAATTTGGGTTCAGTCATAATATTAGTAATGGACACCCACCAAATAAGGGAGGGGTGACTTACAAATACCTTACCTAACCTTACAAATACTTAAGAATTGTCAACGATATTTTGGCATAGTAAAAACTTTGGAATGACAAAACGGCCAAGTTTCGAGGAATAAAAGTCGTGATTTAAGCTTTTGAGGATAATTGAAAACGGCTGTGTTTACAAATTACCAAATCGTGCTTACTGAAACTTACAAATGGCTTACAAATTTTTGACAAAATTTGGAGCCAACATTTTCGCATTGTGCGTCAACTTTGGGTAGGTACCTACCTAAAATGTCAACACCGAATCGTGTTACCGAAAAAACCTTGGTGCGGAGTATAATAATACCACGGTAGAAATAATCTATATTCTAAATTCTTAAAAATCATATCTGTGTAGCCTACACTCTGCGTGAGGTGACTTCGAGCACACGACGGTTGCAGCGGTTCCGTGGAGTTGAGAGATTTGGGTGACCGCGGTAGGGTAAGACGCGTTTTGGTTTGTGCGCAACTACAACTCTCGGCGAATGGACTACGGAGTAAATTATTATCATGAATCGTGACCGCGATCGAACACTGTTAGTGATAACAAGGTAAAATTTACTGTCGAGTTAATATTATTGTCTGACAACAGATCTGAAAAAAAAAATAAACTTAAACCCAATCAATGGAGTCGATAACAGTATAACACTATATTTTGTAGTTGACTGTACAGGATGTTGCACGATAAATGTAGTGTCAAACTTCTAGAGGTGTTTCTACACCTCAAATGGAACAAAAAAAGTCCTTATGACTATAATCGATTTATCAATAATAATATGGTGATAATTTCCTTGTTTGTGTTTTTTTGGATAAACGCAAGTTTGATTCATAATAATGTTCATATCTGGTCCCATTGATTTTGGGGGCCAATCTCTATCAGCAAAATGTATATTTTTTAACGCTTCCAATACAGTTTTCAAAAAAAAAAAAAGTTATTTAAGTAGGTAGGTATGGTAAGTAAATTATTAAATAATTATAAAATAAAATTGTTCTCAATTTTATATCAAGGAACATTACTATCAATAATGAACTATATTTTCCATCATTTTGTTTATGGCTTTTGAGCATATTAGATTACCGATTTTACTATGTAAGTAGGTACTTAAAAAGGTAGTTACAATAAAAAATTATTTAGCTTTTGTAAATTAGGTATTTCAGTTAAAAGTTTTAATGCATATTATACTAAACTTTAGAGGACCATAATTAATAACCTAGCGAACCAAAATTGATTGTCAATCACAGTCAAAATGTTAAGAAAAAAAAGCATTACCAGAATCCATCAAAAAATATTGTGGATACCATTTGAAAAAAATTAAGTCAATTTTATTATTGGTACAACTGCGTCTTTAAAAATTTTGAAAATGTTATAAAAAAAATTGCCTGTTAAAAATAAAGAAACCTTTTTTTTTGTTTTAACGATCCATAATTATTGTTAAAAAAAACCCGCGTACAATGACATAAGATACATCCTGTATATTTTTGTACAGGAAAAAATTAAATAATAATATAAAGTCGTTAATATGTAATGACTAATGATACAATTATTTTGAAGTTAAAGTTGAAAGGGGGCCCACTAAGTGTATGGTGTCCTGGGGCCCAATTGATTCTTAATCCAGGCATGACGACTGGTGCTTAAGATTTGAGTGTTTGCTGCGGAGTACGAGTACCTAACGCGTTATAGTTTGTACGTAACCACTAACCACTAATCACATTCTCTTTGCGAACGGAGTAGCATTGTGGCAAAGATCTAAAACGTAACTATGGACAATTTGTCAATATTGAACACTGCAGTCATGTACCTATTTTGCCTAAACTATACGCCGGGCAACAATTTATGTTTGCATGAAGTATTTAAAACAATATATTAA